CCATTTGAGGTAGTGTATGGTTTCAATCCTTTAACTCCTTTGGACTTACTTCCTTTACCTTGTGATCAAATAGTGAACAAAGATGGAAAAAACAAAGCAGAATTTGTTAAAAGACTCCATCATCAAGTCAAGGACAATATTGAAAGGAGAACGAGACAATATGAACAAGCAAACAAAGGAATGAAGAAGGTAACTTTTGACGTGGGAGATTGGGTTTGGGTACACTTTAGGAAGGAAAGATTCCCAAACCAAAGGAAGTCTAAACTACTACCCGAGGAGATGGCCCATTTCAGATTGTAGAAAAGATCAACGACAATGCCTATAAACTCGAATTGCCCAGTGAGTTTGGGCGTCAGTGACTCATTCACATCACAGACTTATCACCCTTTCAGGATGTACACGATTTGGGGACAAATCGCTTAAAGAAGGGGGGATGATATGGTCACCTACCCCAGATCCGGAAGTCATGCCATAAAGGTCCCATTACTAGGTCAAGGGCCAAACAATTCAGGGAAGTTTTCCTAACTAAGTGTCTTGAAGCTTTTGATTCATTTGATAACTTAACACCCTCCTATGTATGTTATATTATGTTTTAATAGTTAAAGAATAACTTAGTATGAACATAACATGCACATTGATATTTAAGCATATTAGGATAGTTTTATAATCATATTAAACATGATTACCTATATACATCAAGGCAGCATCATTATAATTCATTTTATTAGTTCATATGCATTCATATTAGCTCTTAAGCTTCATGCATTATCTTACACATATTATGAGATGATATATTTAGCTCATGACCTTCAATCATAGCTCACATTACCATATTCTTATATGGAAGCAAGGTATTTAGCTCATAACAGCTCAATACCATGGACTTACCTTGTTTCCTTGCACATATAGGTACATTGGAGTGTGATGCACGATGAGGTAGCTTGGTGGATGATTTGGACGCTCACAAAGTACAAGGCAGCTCATGGAACACTAAGGAAAGCTCGATTCAGTTTGAGGAGCTTAAGACTAGCTAAACTCAGCTAGTTGGACTATTTGGAGCTAAGTTGCCAAAAGTGATGTCAAAGGTAGCTGAATGTAGCTGAACATGTTGTTATAGAGCTCACAAGAACTCGGCTAGGAAGCTTGCTCATGAACAGCCCATAATTGCTAAGATAGCTCCACACTCAAGCTAGCTTGGAAGGAGACACATGCACGCCCAAGATGGAGCACATAACCAGCCATCATTCCATGCACAAGGCTAGGGATGGCAACGGGCCGGGTTAGGGCTGGGTATTGGTCCCCCCGTCCCCGTCCCCGTTTAAAAAATCGATATCCGTCCCCGTTTAAAAAACCATGGGGATTTAAACGGGGATCCCTGTCGGGTAATCAGGGAAAACCGTGGGGAAACGGGTATCCCCGTTTAGCATAAACGGTTATTTAAACGGGTATTGGGCCAGGTATTGGGTCGGGTATTGGGCCGAGAATTGGGCCGGGTATATATATATTTAAATTAAATATATAAATATATATTTTTATTTAAATTAAATTTATTAATATTATATATATATATATATAAATAATTATTTTTAATATTTATCGGGTCGGATATCGGGGCGGATAATCGGGGCGGGTAATCGGGGCAGGGATTACCAAACCCGTCCCCGTCCCCATCCCCGTTTAAAATAAATGAGTTTTCCCCGTCCCCGTCCCCGTTTATCATCCCCGAACCCGACCCGTTTAATTCGGTTTTCGGTTTTCCCCATCGGGTTCGGGTTTTTTTGCCATCCCTACACAAGGCTACACCACAAGGTTCCCTAGGACACCATGTGCATGCCATATGACCAGCCCCCATGTGCCTTGTATGTGGACTCATTTAGGCGCCAAGATGAAGAGCCCTCTCCCTATTCGGCCAAGCATCATCTCCCATCCAATTTGGCGCCAACATGAAGGGACACTAGAGCTATTCGGCCAAGGGTTATCACCCTCCATTTAAACTGAAACATCATCTCTATTTTGTAATTAATTATGTCACTATAGGAAGGCACAAGGCTGGCCGAATTCCCCTGTAACCATTCGGCCATGCCTCTCCATTTCCTATAAATAGGAAAGCATATTTCATTTGTAATCAGACCATTTTGATTAATATAAGTGAGATTATTCTCTTCCTTAAGTCTGGTGACTTTTATCGACTTATCAAGTATTTTTATACTTGTGGCGTCAACCCCTTTCTTTTCACCTTGATATTCTGGTTCCTAGTTCATATAACTAGTGGGTCAAAGTACTTAATACCACCCCTTGAAGAAGCAATATAAAGTCTGGGTCTTTGCTCTCTATAGCATTGGTTCTTCTTTGAGACTTCTTCAAGATACTATCCTCACTACCATCCCTTTGTTTCATAAGCCATAACCATAGCCTTATCAACCATCTTCTGCTTCCATCTTTCATTTTAAACAGCCCACCTATTTCACCCATACGTTTACTACCTTAACCATCTCTTTTTGAGTCTTCACTTATGCATGTGTTTTGCTTCATTCCTAGATCCACAATCATTGTTAAGGTACAAGTGCCTTACATCACTTGGGGACTCCATTTGTTATTCACAAGAGTCCTACTATGCTGAGATATATTGTAGGATGAATGAGCATTGCAAGAGAAAATGGAACAAACGGATGGCTGCATTAAAGAGACTTTTCACAATCCTAGGTCTTTGATATCATTTTTTGTGTTGTTATCTTGCTCCTACGCACTTTACTACAAACTATATTTTCGTTATCTCTTATTATAAGTAATGATTGAAGAAGGTTGTAGGTATTATTTTATTCCATTTAAGATTAGGGAGGTTTTTAACGAGACATACGATCGAGATAGATAATATTCAAATTTCTAAATAAAATCATTTTATCGAGAGAAAAAAGTAGTAGTAAAGTAGAACTATTCAATTTAGTGTTGTTCAATTTCATGTCAATTTTGATTCTAATGTTATTGATGATGTATGAGTTCAAACTCTATGTTTTTTTTGTTGATTGTAGTTTTCTTTTATTAATAAAATAAATCATTCGATTGATTTAAAAAAATTAATTGGGCTTTAAAGCCTGAGTCAATAGTAAGACTTAGTATGTGAGGGACATAAATGATCCAACATACCTAAAAAAAATCGTAGGAGTAGGTTACATCGGGCGTAACCATATTAAGTGTTACTAAGTATCTTCAATCGATGACGTATATGGATAGTTGAGATTGAGGATTAGTACATGAGATACCCGATGAACGATACGATAAACATGTCAGATTCAATCGACGAAGAGTGTGGTGCTTCGAAAACGTCAGTGAACCAAAAATGGATAAGCAGTTTCACTACTTCAAGGGTATTGGAAGAAGTACGATAAGATAATTAGATGTGTGGTTACCCAGTAACAAGTCCGATTCAGGTATCGAGCTTTCACTGTCAGTGTACTCTGCAAGCACCATAATCACGGGAAATGTGAAACGCTTAGAGACCTCTCCGAAGGTATAAATGAGTAAAATACCCTATAAATATTAATACACCTCCTATCACATCCTAAGAGAGGAAGTGCGGGATAGTCTCGGGTGAAGGGGATATGACCTCACCTGACTTCAATAAGTTCAATAGCGAGTGATCAAGCTACTTCGCCTACTATAGTGTGGCATCAGTAGACGTGTGTTAAGGTGTAGCTCTAGATGAGAGCCTTATAATAATAATGATAATAACATTAATTGTGTGATAGCCATAAGAGCCTTATGAGATTCCCATAAGGACTTATGCCCTTGTGTGCAACTAGGGAAACAATGAGGACACCCGAGTTACTTTAGCAGGACGATCGTCTTGTATGTATAGAATATCTGGATATATCCAAGTCAGTGCAAGATGCGCTTTAGTCGCTAGTTAAATGTGGTACTGATGCTATGTGACGCAGGCACGTTCCGAGTACTCAAGAGTAGTAGACTAACCAGGCAAGGTGTGGATGCTTTGCGACCTGGTCTTAGCCTAAGGTATTGGGAGGTGCCGATGCTATGTGAACTGGACCTTGCCTGAGATACTTGGGAGATACTGATGCTGTGTGACCTAGGTCTACCCGAGGTACCCCTATTAAGCAAGCAAATGTGTGAGCTCCGTGATGATATGTGACCCCGAGCCACATCACGATGCTTACTTATTGTTGAGTAATAGTATCAACGTCTCTGTGATAGTACCGTCATTGTGTTTGGCATGGTGATGCATTATAGAATGATAATGAGGTTAGAGACTTAGTATTTGTATACTCATGGCGAGGCCCTTAGCGAAGACTAAGGGAAGCATGAGATGTAGATTAGAGAGATAGAACTAAAGGACCTTACATAGGTAGCATTGATTGGAATTATGCTTGTTCACATTCTTAGTTCCTTTTTCAGAAGCAATCTGATATTTTGCTAAATGCCGATGATCTGGATGCCATGTGGGTTTGCTTAAGAGAAAATTGCGTTATTGGTGACTCCACCGGCGCTGAAAAGTCTATTCTTTGACATCATATTCTCCTCTAGTTTCAATGAAGTGCTACACAAATTAAAATAAAAAAAGATGAGCTACTTTTATTCTGTTGTTCTCAATTAGAACATTATCGTTGGCATCAGCTATATTCACAACTTGGCTCATGTTCGCAAACTTGCAGATGAACTATGAAGATTTTTTCCACATTGTCTCCATATGTACAGAACAAATAGGTCCAAAATGTCGCCGTTTCTTCAGCCCATCCAACTTCATGAAGTTTGGGTAAGATGAGTCGGGACGAATAGCCATATTGCCCTTCTATCTTTGTAATGCTCGCGGTGTTTCTTTAATTTTCCAAAGTCTTAATCAGTTCCTTACGGATTGTTGCTGCATTAGCTAATGGTATTGGTCCTAAAATCATGATGTTAGAAGAAACCAAGATATCACCTGCTTTTACCTTATTCTTATTCAGGAAGTGGTTGCTTGATTGCTGCTTATTGTTTTATTTCTTCAGGTTTCTCTTACTCAGGCCAGAATAGATATGAGTGAAATTGATGAGGATTCTGATGGTTTCGTCCAACCTCATGTATGAAGCCTTTCCATTTTGAAGTATTTAAACGATCTTTTTACCTTCTGATCTATTTCAAATTGAATACCAGTATACTACCAGTTGTTTTTCATTATTTCACACGGGTAAAACTATAATTACTCGACTGTTGTACAGGAAATGGAGGCCTATATTCAGGGTCTTATTCCTAATCTGGCACAACTACACGATATGCCTACTGCCTTTGTTCAAATGTACTGTCGCACAGCTGCACACAAGTTATTCTTCTTTTGTGATCCTAACAGACGAGGCCTGCATCACTTAAATTAGTTTACCATCGTAGAGTCGACATCATGTCAATAGTTACTGGTTAAGGTGTTCCAACTTGCTGATCGTGATAGTATACTATTCCTTACAGGAAAAAACTGCATAAAAAGGGTGCTGCTAAGCAACTGTCCCCAGGAATTAAGGAACTACATCTTTAACATATACCATCTTCTACGTATGTTGACATATATAAGTATATCTTATTTGATTTTCTTTTCGCTCGTTAAATTTCTGTGCAGGAAAGTGAGGAAGTAGTCACTACAATGAGCACGCTGAAATTTGGTTTTCCTTGACCTCAGCACAAACGCGTATGTGGTGAATGCTTTTCAACATGACGGTGATCTTTGATGGTTTATTGGATCATAAAATGCAATTTCCTACATTTCCCACATTTTTCTTCTATGTTATTATTTGTAGATATGTTTCTTGCCCTTGATAAAGATATGCAGATGGAACTCTTAACTGAAATTTTCATTGAAAGAATATGCAGATGGAACTCAACTGAAATTTTCATTGAAAGAGGTAGGATTTGTAAACTGTTGTTTACTTTCAAAGTATACTAGAATTTCTTACGTTAGTTGTTACTTAAAGTATGCCCTTTGAACAAAAAATGGTATTGTTTCGTTTACTATGTGCTTTGAGCTAATTCTAAGAGTTGAATTTTATTTCATTTCCTGAGCTATCAAACATATATTGAAACATGGAAGTGAAGAAGGGGAACATCTAGCCTCTAGGTGATGAGATGCTTTCTGATGACAATCTTGCTACAGAAAATTCGGATGTTTCCTCGAGTCTCAAATTGCCGGATACATGAATGATGAATGAAGCATGGTTTAAAGACTCCAACCGGTTTTCTGATTTTTACTAATAGCTCTTATTGAACTAGGATTGTCAATTTATTTTAATAATCCATCAGCTGAAAGAATGTCATTTACTCTTGAAACAAAGATGTACACATTTACTCTTGAAACAGAGATGTACACCGGAAATGGACCAAAGGGGGCAACTACGAGTTATGCATCGAGGACGTGAGGGACAAAATATGGGATATGGTGAAGCCGATTGATCCATTGAAGATTACACAGGTTGACCTGGCTTGTAAACAGGGCGGTACCATGGCCAGCATGCTGATAGACGTGCGAGGATTTTGGGCTCATGACAACAGGGAAAATCTTCTCCAAGAAGAAGAGCATGACCTAGAATCTGAATGATGATTGCATTACATAAATTTGACAAATACAGTCAAGATTGCAACACTTTTTTAAAGTGATGGAAAATCTATTCTCATAAGCATTTCTTACATAAGTTCCATTACTTAGTTCTATCAGACAAGGGCTCAAATCAGGGCCAGTTGAGCAGTTGTTTATTCGGACTGTTCCTCTTACATATAAGATGGGTGTAACTAGTCGGTTTTGGTCTGACACTATACATTGAATGGCTTCCTTGAAGTCGGTGCTCTATTCTCCATAGACTGCTGTCTTTGCTTGAGGTGGAAAACTTCAACCTGCAGTACAAAAAAGCTATATGTTATGTTGTCGTTAAGTGATCTTGGAGCATAATCCGGTTGTGACATTAGTTTAGGGTCCAGGGTTACGAATGTCATACCTGTAGTTGGAATGCTCTTGCCCTCTCGCCTGCAAGGACACCTCTGGTCGAATGTAGTTCCTGTTACAAGTTTCAAATCAGGCATTCTTTTGAAAGACACTCTAGGATCGAAAAGTACGAGTTCATTACAGATTATTAATACCTTTTGAGTATCATCTAGAACACTTTAAGGAAGCCACATCATGTTCAAGTCTAACATTGTCCGAGTGGATGTTCGACAAGTTGTTGGCATCTTGTGCAAGTTCTATGCTAGATAGTTTCTCCTTTAGCAAGTCCATCTCCTTCACTGTGTCTGCAAGTCTTTTCTCCATCTCCTCTTTGCTCTTCAAAGCCGAACCTAAATTCCTCTCCACGCTGTCTCGGCTCGCCAATGCAGCTGCCAACTGTACTTCTAAAATCCCGTTTTTTCTACTCAGAGCAGCCATTCTCGTCTCGTAAAATTGATATATGCTTGATGGTGCTGATAGGGCTCCTGATTTACCTTCCACGTCCGGAAATACGAAATTATCGTTACCAACAGTAATGTTTGTGATCCCTTCAGCCTGCGGATTTGAACTCTCGCATTCATATAGGAATGATTCGTCTGAACAGAATTTGGTCCCAGGAGCATTAATCGGAACTCCAGCATCAGATTGATTTGGTTTTCGTTCTGTTGCCTGAAAACAACGAAAACATGTTATGTCAATGGAATATTTCGATCTCGGAGTAGATTAAAGGATAGTCATCATCTTGAAGGCAAAAGTTAAGTGAAGCTTACCTGCAGGATGGAACTTAAGTCCTCTGAACTCTTTCATTCAACACTCGTGTTGTGTTCTTCCTCACTAAGAAATTGCTTCCGTAATGAGACATTTCCGGAAAGAGGATTTTGATCCACAAGCGACAAATCCGACATTGATCTCCTACCAGAACCATGTTCGATTACAGCGGCTAGATTTTGTCTAGCAGCCCAATCAACTGAACGGTTAGCAGAACCATTAGTAGGTTGGCTAGCAGACTCCACAGATGATGAACGTTTTCCCGCACATTTACCGAGATTTGATTGCCGGCCCATGGATGATTCATTCTTTCGTGATGAGTACTTCAACCTGTGTAAAAAATGAAGGTATTACAGTTTGAATACAATCTAATCATTCCCGAGTATACGAATTCAAACTTCAACCTGATTTGAAGGTTCCTTCCTGTATCCACCGAATGCAACGAGAAAATCCTTATCCTTATGCTGCACGAGTACTAGGCTAAACCCCTGCAAGAACAACTATAATAAGAACAATAGGAACAACTATAATAAGAACAATAGGGAAGAGTGCTAGTGAATAGAGATTCCGTTGTGCTTAAACGAAATCCAACCGGGATTTTCTACCGGTCTGAGTTTGCAAACGTTCTGGTTATATATACAATTCACACCATAAAATAGGGAGGTATAAAAATCACTTAAAGTGACACTTTTGATGCAAAAAGACAAATTCAGCATGTTGTTGACCTTGTTAGTGGTGATCGAAGATGGAGGTGACGCAACAGCAACAGACCACTCGGACTTTAGTACATCATAGATGAAAGTCTCTGTATGTCCTGTAAACATTTCGGAATCAAATAAGAAAAAAGAATGAATGCAAAGGGTAATACGTAAAACATCAGTGTACTAATCGCCGGATTCGTTACATGATATTAGATGAGATACATAATATGGTTAATACGCACTCCTAGACACATGCATGGCACACACAAGGGGATCAGGAAGATATATGCTTTGATATGAAATAAATATTAGGTTCGGCAATTTCAAAATTCGCTAGAAAAAAGGTTTCCGAATCCATGTATGATGCTTTATTCGTCAAAGTTTATAATTGTGTGCTTCTCTGTACGAGACATACTTTTTTTCCTACTTCCACCCCCTGCTATGTACCATTTTGTTCCACACAGAACTCCACAGCAACCAGCTCTAGGCGATGGATGAAAGCCACGTATTTTTATTCTTGACCATACCATCTGAGGGGAAAATTACAAAGAATTAACAATAGTAAGCATTGTAATCTGAATGTAAACGCGGCAAGAAAGCTATAAGTTTTTTCGCACCGTTTCAAAGTCAAGTGAGTACAAGTCGTTCAATGTCCTGGACTTTGATGCTCCACCAAATACGAGAAGGGTTTTATCATCATAAAGAGTTGCCACATGATTGGATCTCGGAGACAGTCTTGCTCCTCGCACAGACAAAACCATTCATTCACTAGAAGCTTCTTCAAAGGGATTTAGTCTTACGATTCATATGTAAGAGCCATATTTCTGCGTCTGCAAAGTGACATACGTGCACTGAAGTGTAAGCCATGTCGCTGATTTCAAATCAAACATATGTAGGTCGTTCAGTTTCTTCTTTTTCGCAGTTTCACCCCCAAAAAGGATTAGAACGGAGTTTGCCCTGAGCAGTGTGACCACTTCGAGCAACCTGGAAGCAACAGAAGCTTTTGTTATAGCTGATACGAGGGATGAAACAAAGCAAATAGACAATCATACCATGCAAATTTGTGACATGTCCATGTTAATGCTATATCTAATATATGTACTTCCTAGTAAATTCACTGTTATTAATAATTAGAATTTGCTTCTAATGATGTTTGATATCAATGCAAGAAATGCTACTTTACAAGTAATTTGGCATTCTATGAGTCGACAAAAAGTACCGGAATTTCTCCTTTTGCTTCCATAATGACCAACATTCGGTCTCTGTATCAAATGCCCATACTGCAAAATCATAAATTGTGCACATAAACATATCACATCATGTACTAAAAAAAGGTGACAATAGTGGGACCACAAAAGAATATAGTTCGAACCTGAAACTTTGTCATTCACAGGGTCAGTTCTGCCTCCAACAAGGAGGGCCTTTTGCCCCATGAAACCTGAGTAAAGATGCAACAGATACACATGAGCATAGCAATACACCTAATGCTTTGCAACCCACTTGTTAAAAACAAACACGAAACAACCCAATGATACAATGAAGTAGCAAAAAAGGACTTCATCGGATGACTAACAGAAACAGCAAACTACTCGGTACTCAAGGTGGTGGTACAAGAATGCCATTAACCTCACCCCTAGACATGCCCAGTACAATGTACCATACCACACAATATCTCAATTAAAAAGCATAAAGGAACAACAATTCAGCGCATACGATATGCAAAGCAAAGATAACATAGTGTCGGGGGGAAATAGTGTATATCATAAATGATGTGTAACAACCCGAAAATGGAAAAAAATATATAATTGTAATTTGAGGTTTTAATTAAGTTAATTGGTGAAATTTGAGGATTTAATTGGAAGTTTTAAAACTTGTAGCCTATTTTAAAGTGGAGGAAATTCAATGACCATCACTGAATATTTCCAAGGAGTGTCGGCAGATTTTTTCTTATATGCGTGCAAATTGATTCTGGTTTCATAACAGAACAATTTGTTAAGATTTTACCCCACGCACCTCAACTCCGACGACGATTCTGACACCGTCCGAATTCCGATCGTCGTTTGAAAGTACCATCGTGTTCGTTATCGAATCAGGAACAATCCCTCAATTTAATTGAAGCGAAACGCTGCCAAACGTCGGAATTTCAAGTCAAAGCATCGACGTTTTTTTAAGCTCAATCGCCTAGAAAATCCTAAATTCATCGCCGATCGTTGCTCCTTTTACGACACCTCCCGCACCATCGTATTCCTTGTGCCGTTCCGAGTCCGTCGGTGTCAACCTCGATCTCCGTTGACGGCGGCGCGTAGGGAGGTGGATCAGTCAAAGATTCGGCCGAGTCGAAATCGAGCTCTCCGCCGTTCAAAAATTTGAACCGATCTTTGTAAGTATCTCGAAATCGCTTAAAATAATTTTTAGAAATTTTCCGTGATTTTTAGAGCCCCGGAGGACGTCGCACGCCCACACGCGCCGCAGGCGAGGAACGCTGGAAACCGGTTTTGACCGGTTTAACCGGTTTTGAACCGGTTTTGACCGGTTTGACCGGTCACGACCCGTTTACCCGACCCGTTGACCCGACCCGTTGACCGTTGACCGGTGCTATTCTGGGAATTAATTCAGTTTTGGTGCTATTCTGGGAATTAATTCGAAAAGGGTGCTATTTGTGTAAAATGTTTGACAGTTGTTGACCTCCTTTGACCAAACTTTGACCGGCTTTGACCGGCTATTAGACGACCTTTTTTTCGACCAAGAATACCTATCCTGATAGTTTTCGACGTTCCGAATCCGTTTTTGGGGTCCGTTTTGCTAAATTCAAACCCGAAAGTCCAAATCGTCAGTCAACCCCGTTGACTTTAATTTTGACCAAGAATTCGAAATTTCGGAAGGTCATACCTTATATTTTTCGACGTCCTGATTTGATTCCGAAGTCCGTTTTGCCAAATCTGACCCGAAATTCCCGAATCGAGCTTGTAAACCCAAAAGGCTTAATATTTTATATTTTGATTATTTAAATGAGATTGGTCAAGGATTTATTCAATAAATATTTTATGAAGGTACTCGTGTTTCACCTGAGCAAGGATCAATTAGGTCCGGTATTATCCGTTCGTTAGATCAGCCTGAACCGCGTACTACGAGAATTACCCGTAGGTTTCTGTATATTATTTAAATATTTAGATTATTTATATTAGGATTCCAATATGGATTTTTCCAATTCGTAGGATCTAACGCTGCAGCAGAACGTGATCGACAGACCCAGTAATAGGCTTCCCTATCTGATTTCTCAGACTGTTACAGGTGTGTTTCCCGACAGTGTAATTATTTCTGTTTTAAAATACATCTGAACATTATGTATATGACATCTGATTTGCCTCATATTTCTGATATGATTTTTTTTGGTTACGGTATTTTATACCGCTTTTTTTTGAATATTGAATATTCGATATCTGAAATTCTGTATACTACTGACTTGTCTTCTGATTTCCGTATTTCTGTATATTATTGTTAAGCATGAACACTTTTATGTTTTAAAGATTTAATCATTGTTTTCATTCAAAAACATTCATGAACATCTCCATCATTGGGGGGTATCGTTGAAGGAAGTATATCCGCAGGTTCCTCGGCTTTGTGCTCAGGGCCTTATTTGTTGTGTGGGCTGGGTGTATGGTTCTGGGGAACCTACACATTCTGTTGTGATGGGCTGGGGGTAGTGTTCATATTTTTTTGACGACATGATTGCATAAACCGACTTTACTGGAATATTTTTATCAGTATGTTTTTATATACACTGTATGGAACACACTGGGCTTTTTAGCTCATTCTGTAGTTTTTACCATTTTTCAGATAACAGCAGACCATAAGCTAGCAGATTTGGCATCAGGAGAAATCAACTACTTTATTTTGTACGAACATATATTTCTATATGTTTTTCGGTTATGTTGGTGACATGTATTTATTATCGTTTTGGACATATCTGTATTATTAAATATTATATTTAACGTCCTATAAGTGAAAAAAAAAACCTCTGAATGGGATATGTGACCACTTAGGTTTGGGTCTAACTCACAGACCGGGTCTAGGGGGTTACATTTGGTGGTATCAGAGCTTTCGGTTTTAAACACTCGGACTGTATATGGGTCCTAAACTTTGAATTTTTAAGAAATAAAAAAAAATGTCACCTTATGTTATGATTTAAAGTTTTATCGAGATCCCTGATGCTAATCTGACATATGTTTCAAATTCTTCTGTAGAGCCTTATAGATCCAACGATGAATACTGCTAGAGGTCGTAGGACAGGACGTGGACGTGGTAGAGGGCGAGTCACTCGACCTTCTGTTACGATAGACGATCCGATGTCAGCACGTGATCCTCCTGTTCCGCAAGTAGATCCGACTCTTTTCAGATGATCAGTTTACTCCTATGAGAGACCCTCCCGTCACTGAAGATGAGGATTCTGAGATGAATGAAGACGCCATTAATAGAGCTATCTTCCGCATGTTTCAGAGAGCTGCTAGAGCCCCTAGTAACATGACTGCAGTGGAGATTTCAAATTCTCTGGTTGCTGCTGGTGTAGTACCATTCGAGGGTATTACTGGTGGACCTCCGACAGACGCTGAGTATTGGCTGGAGGACACAGAAAGGATTATGGAGAGATGGACCTCAGACCTGAACAAAAGTTAAAGGGGGCCCTAACTATGTTGAAGAAAGAAAGCTTCAGATGGTGGCAATCCATTTCTGGTAGTATTCCGAGGAACCAATTAACATGGGATCTTTTCAAGACGCGCTTCCGAAGTCGCTACATCGGAGAGAGATATCTGCAGGAGCGACGACAGGAGTTTCAGAATCTGGAGCAGGGTAATATGTCTGTTATGGATTATGAGGTTGAATTCATCCGATTGAGCCGATAGCTCCTGGACTTGTGGATACTGAGACAGATCGATGCTTGAGGTTCGAGAATGGACTCAGGTATGAAATCAGGAGTCGAGTCGCTACTCACCGAGAGAGGAATTTTGATGCTTTGGTTGAGATAGCCAAGACTGCTGAGGAAATAGAGCGACTGGGTATGGAGCACCAGAGAGATAGTGATCGAGCTCAAACCCGATTCAGGAGGCCTTCTAGTTCTGTTAATTCTTCTGCACATCCTAGTAAGAGGGGCGGGTGAATCTTTTCAGAGAGGTAGTGCAAGTGCCAGGCCTGTAGCATCCGGTTCTCCAGCTGTTCAATCTTCTAGACCTGTTGATTCTGGTTCGCAGCCATGTAATTATTGTGGAAAACCTCATCCTGGGGAATGCAGGAGAAAATTTGGTACCTGTTTTAAATGTGGTTCTGGTGACCATTTTATAAGGGATTGTCCATTATCAGTTACTACAGTTCAGACGCCAGCTCGTACTCCCGCTCGTACTCAGAGTACTGTTCAGACTCCTGTGTGGTCGTACTCAGGAGAGAGCACCTGGATCGGCTAATAGAGGCCGAGCATCTCAGAGTAGGGGTCCAGTCAGATCTGAGGCTAGACAACCTGCATTGGTTTACACTGCTAGACTTCGACAAGATCGAGATGGGCCTAATGTGACTGCAGGTACTGTTACTATTCATTCAGTTCCATACTTTGCATTGTTTGATAGTGGCTCTACAAATTCCTATGTATCACATTCCGTTTCTGAGGGTCTAAATATTCCTGTTGAGAATACTGAGCGTTCAGTGATAGTTCAAAGTCCCTTAGGCCAATCCATCGTGTTGGATCGTATTTTAGAGAGTGCCCTATAGAGTCAATGGGAGATTTTTCTGGCTGACCTGATGGAGTTACCCTTTGAAGAGTTTGATTTGATTCTGGCGTAGATTGGTTGGACAAACATCGAGTAAATATTGATTTTGAGACTAAGAGAGCTGTTCTGAAAACCTCAGATAATCGAAAGATTGTAATGATCGGGGAACGACGTGGATTTCTGACGAATGTTGTGTCTGCTTTGGTAACAGAGAAGATGATCAGGAAGGGTTCCGAGGCGTTTCTTGCTTATATTTTGGACACTAGGAGATCGCAATCCGATATTGAAAGCATCCGAATTGTCAAGGAATTTCCCGATGTTTTTCCCGAGAGTTGCCTGATTACCTCCAGATAGAGAAGTCGAGTTTGTGATTGAAGTCTATTCTGGTTCCACCCCGGTTTCAATGGCTCCTTATCGTATGGCCCCAAGGAGCTTAAAGAACTGAAAATCCAACTCCAGGAGTTGTTGGACAGGGGATTTATCCGACCTAGTGTATCACCGTGGGGAGCTCCAGTTCTCTTTGTCAAGAAGAAGATGGACATTGAGACTCTGTATTGATTATAGAAAACTAAACAAACTCACTGTTAAAAATAAATATCCTCTACCCAGAATCGACGATCTATTTGACCAATTTCGAGGGGCTTCTATCTTTTCAAATATAGACTTAAGATCTGGTTATTATCAACTTAAAGTGAAAGATTCGGATATTCCGAAGACTGCTTTCCGTACTCGATATGGGCATTATGAGTTTTAGTGATGTCATTCGGGTTAACTAATGCCCCTGCTACTTTGGATCTGATGCATAGAGGTTTCGACCTTATTTGGACCAGTTTGTAGTGGTATTCATTGATGATATACTGGTGTATTCTAGAAGTGAAGTAGAACATGAGAAGCATTTAAGAATTGTTCTTCAGACTCTAAGGGAGAATAAGCTATACGCTAAGTTGAGCAAGTGTGAGTTCTGGCTCAGCGAAGTGACTTTTCTTGGACATATCGTCTCCGCTGATGGCATTCAGGTGGATCCAAGCAAAGTGGAGGCTATTCTGAACTGGAAGCAACCCAGAAATGTCTCTGAGATCCGTAGTTTCTTGGGCTTAGCTGGTTACTATCGTCGTTTCGTTGAGGGGTTCTCCCTTATTGCAGCTCCTCTGACGAAACTATTAAGGAAAGGTGTTCCATTTGTCTGGTCTGAGGACCAACAAGCTAGTTTTGAGAAATTGAAGACTGTTCTAACTCAAGCCCCAGTGTTGATTCAGCCTGAATCTGGGAAGGATTTTTCTGTCTACAGTGATGCTTCTCATTCTGGATTAGGATGTGTTTTGATGCAAGATAGGAAAGTTGTCGCTTATGCGTCACGTCAGTTAAGGCCGCATGAGCGTAACTATCCTACTCACGATCTGGAATTAGCTGCTGTGGTTTTTGCTTTAAAGATCTGGAGACACTACCTCTACGGAGAAAAGTGTTATATCTATACTGATCATAAGAGTCTGAAGTATCTGCTTACTCAGAAAGAATTAAATTTGAGACAGCGTCGCTGGTTGGAGCTTTTAAAGGACTATGATTTTGAGATAGAATATCATCCAGGGAAGGCTAATGTAGTGGCAGACGCCTTGAGCCGTAAGGCGATATCAGACCTCAGAGCCTTATTTGCCAACTTGAGCTTATTTGATGATAATAGTTTGTTAGCAGAGTTACAAGTTAAACCTACTTTGGCCGAGGAGATTAAGGCTAAACAACTCCTTGATAACTCGTTGCTTTCCATTATTGAACAAGTTAAGCAAGGATCGAGTTCGGAGTATACTGTGGATCAGGATGGTATTTTGTGTTTTCACGGTCGTTACTGCGTTCCTAAAGAAGATGAGTTGAAACGGGTTATTCTTCAGGAGGCTCATAGTAGTCCTTATGCTATGCATCCTGGTGGGGACAAAATGTACAAATCTCAAAGAGCGCTACTTTTGGACTGGTATGAAGAAAAATATTTCAGATTTTGTGGCGAGGTGTTTGACTTGTCAGCAGGTTAAGGCAGAGCACCAACATCCATCTGGATTATTACAGTCAATTAAGATTCCTGAGTGGAAATGGGAGCGTATTACGATGGACTTCGTTACTGGTCTTCCTCTAACTCCTTCCAAAAAGGATTCTATCTGGGTGATTGTTGATCGACTCACCAAGTCAGCGCACTTTATCCCTATTCGAGTTAATTATTCTCTGGATAAACTGGCTAAATTGTACATTTCTGAGATCGTTAGACTTCATGGTGTTCCGTTGTCTATCATATCTGATCGAGATCCGAGATTCACTTCCAGGTTCTGGAAAGCTTTGCATGAGGCTATGGGTACTCGTTTGAATTTCAGTACAGCTTTTCATCCTCAAACTGATGGACAGTCTGAGCGAGTGATTAAGGTGTTGGAGGATATGTTACGGGGCTGTGTGATTGATTTCCGTGGTAGTTGGGAAGATTTCTTGCCATTAGCTGAGTTTGCTTACAATAATGGTTATCAGGCGAGTATTCGCATGGCACCGTACGAGGCTCTGTATGGACGTAGATGTCGTACTCCTATATGTTGGACAGAGTTACATGATAGAAAAACTTTGGGTCCAGATTTGGTTCGAGAGACTGAAGATACTGTCAGACTGATCCGTGATCGTTTAAGAGAGGCATTTGATAGGCAGAAGTCATACGCAGATAAGCGACGTAAGGATATCGAGTTTGAGGTTGAAGATCAGGTTTTTCTCAAGGTATCTCCATGGAAGAAGGTATTGAGATTTGGACGTAAAGGTAAACTGAGTCCGCGATTTATTGGGCCGTATCGTATTCTGAAGAAAGTTGGACCTGTTGCTTATCAGCTTGAGTTGCCTTCCCAGCTCAGTCGTATTCATGATGTTTTTCATGTTTCTATGTTGAGGCGATACCGTCCAGATCCAGATCACATCATTCAGGTTGATGAGGTAGAGCTGAGACCTGATTTGTCATATGAGGAGGAGCCTGTTCAGGTTTTAGAGAGGGATGAGCGAGTTCTTCGGAATAGGCGTATTCCAATGGTCAAAGTGCAGTGGAGTAATCGTAGACCCTCAGAAGCTACTTGGGAGACGTTGGAGTCAATGGAGCTTCAATTTCCGCATCTATTTTCATAAGTTAAATTTCGAGGACGAAATTTCTTGTAGAGGGGGAGAATTGTAACAACCCGGAAAATGGAAAAAATATATATAATTGTAATTTGAGGTTTTAATTAAGTTAATTGGTGAAATTTGAGGATTTAATTGGAAGTTTTAAAACTTGTAGCCTATTTTAAAAAGTGGAGGAAATTCAATGACCAATCACTGAATATTTCCAAGGAGTGTCGGCAGATTTTTTTCTTATATGCGTGCAAATTGATTCTGGTTTCATAACAGAACAATTTGTTAAGTTTTTACCCCACGCACCTCAACTTCCGACGACGATTCATATGTAAGAGCCATATTTCTGCGTCTGCAAAGTGACATACGTGCACTGAAGTGTAAGCCATGTCGCTGATTTCAAATCAAACATATGTAGGTCGTTCAGTTTCTTCTTTTTCGCAGTTTCACCCCCAAAAAGGATTAGAACGGAGTTTGCCCTGAGCAGTGTGACCACTTCGAGCAACCTGGAAGCAACAGAAGCTTTTGTTATAGCTGATACGAGGGATGAAACAAAGCAAATAGACAATCATACCATGCAAATTTGTGACATGTCCATGTTAATGCTATATCTAATATATGTACTTCCTAGTAAATTCACTGTTATTAATAATTAGGAATTTGCTTCTAATGATGTTTGATATCAATGCAAGAAATGCTACTTTACAAGTAATTTGGCATTCTATGAGTCGACAAAAAGTACCGGAATTTCTCCTTTTGCTTCCATAACTGACCAACATTCGGTCTCTGTATCAAATGCCCATACTGCAAAATCATAAATTGTGCACATAAAACATATCACATCATGTACTAAAAAAAGGTGACAATAGTGGGACCACAAAAGAATATAGTTTCGAACCTGAAACTTTGTCATTCACAGGGTCAGTTCTGCCTCCAACAAGGAGGGCCTTTTTGCCCCATGAAACCTGAGTAAAGATGCAACAGATACACATGAGCATAGCAATACACCTAATGCTTTGCCAACCCACTTGTTAAAAACAAACACGAAACAACCCAATGATACAATGAAGTAGCAAAAAAGGACTTCATCGGATGACTAAACAGAAACAGCATAAACTACTCGGTACTCAAGGTGGTGGTACAAGAATGCCATTAACCTCACCCCTAGACATGCCCAGTACAATGTACCATACCACACAATATCTCAATTAAAAAGCATAAAGGAACAACAATTCAGCGCATACGATATGCAAAGCAAAGATAACATAGTGTCGGGGGGAAATAGTGTATATCATAAATGATTGTGTAACAACCCGGAAAATGGAAAAAATATATATAATTGTAATTTGAGGTTTTAATTAAGTTAATTGGTGAAATTTGAGGATTTAATTGGAAGTTTTAAAACTTGTAGCCTATTTTAAAAAGTGGAGGAAATTCAATGACCAATCACTGAATATTTCCAAGGAGTGTCGGCAGATTTTTTTCTTATATGCGTGCAAATTGATTCTGGTTTCATAACAGAACAATTTGTTAAGATTTTACCCCACGCACCTCAACTTCCGACGACGATTCTGACACCGTCCGAATTCCGATCGTCGTTTTGAAAGTACCATCGTGTTCGTTATCGAATCAGGAACAATCCCCTCAATTTAATTGAAGCGAAACGCTGCCAAACGTCGTGAATTTCAAGTCAAAGCATCGACGTTTTTTTAAGCTCAATCGCCTAGAAAATCCTAAATTCATCGCCGATCGTTGCTCCTTTTACGACACCTCCCGCACCATCGTATTCCTTGTGCCGTTCCGAGTCCGTCGGTGTCAACCTCGATCTCCGTTGACGGCGGCGCGTAGGGAGGTGGATCAGTCAAAGATTCGGCCGAGTCGAAATCGAGCTCTCCGCCGTTCAAAAATTTGAACCGATCTTTGTAAGTATCTCGAAATCGCTTAAAATAATTTTTAGATATTTTTCCGTGATTTTTAGAGCCCCGGAGGACGTCGCACGCGCCCACACGCGCCGCCGCAGGCGAGTGAACGCTGGAAACCGGTTTTGACCGGTTTAACCGGTTTTGAACCGGTTTTGACCGGTTTGACCGGTTACGACCCGTTTACCCGTTTACCCGACCCGTTGACCCGACCCGACCCGTTGACCGTTGACCGGTGCTATTCTGGGAATTAATTCAGTTTTGGTGCTATTCTGGGAATTAATTCGAAAAGGGTGCTATTTGTGTAAAATGTTTGACAGTTTGTTGACCTCCTTTGACCAGAACTTTGACCGGCTTTGACCGGCTATTAGACGACCTTTGTTTTCGACCAAGAATACCTATCCTGATAGTTTTCGACGTTCCGAATCCGTTTTTGGGGTCCGTTTTGCTAAATTCAACCCGAAAGTCTCCAAATCGTCAGTCAACCCCGTTGACTTTAATTTTGACCAAGAATTCGAAATTTCGGAAGGTCATACCTTATATTTTTCGACGTCCTGAATTTGATTCCGAAGTCCGTTTTGCCAAATTCTGACCCGAAATTCCCGAATCGAGCTTGTAAACCCAAAAGGCTTAATATTTTAATATTTTGATTATTTAAATGAGATTTGGTCAAGGATTTATTCAATAAAATATTTTATGAAGGTACTCGTGTTTCACCTGAGCAAGGATCAATTAGGTCCGGTATTATCCGTTCGTTAGATCAGCCTGAACCGCGTACTACGAGAATTACCCGTAGGTTTCTGTATATTATTTAAATAATATTTAGATTATTTATATTAGGATTCCAATATGGATTTTTCCAATTCGTAGGATCTAGCGCTGCAGCAGAACGTGATCGACAGACCCAGTAATAGGCTTCCCTATCTGATTTCTCAGACTGTTACAGGTGTGTTTCCCGACAGTGTTAATTATTTCTGTTTTAAAAATACATCTGAACATTATGTATATGACATCTGATTTGCCTCATATTTCTGATATGATTTTTGGTTACGGTATTTTATACCATTTTTTTGAATATTGAATATTCGATATCTGAAATTCTGTATACTACTGACTTGTCTTCTGATTTCCGTATTTCTGTATATTATTGTTAAGCATGAACACTTTTATGTTTTAAAGATTTAATCATTGTTTTCATTCAAAAACATTCATGAACATCTCCATCATTGGGGGGTATCGTTGAAGGAAGTATATCCGCAGGTTCCTCGGCTTTGTGCTCAGGGCCTTATTTGTTGTGTGGGCTGGGTGTATGGTTCTGGGGAACCTACACATTCTGTTGTGATGGGCTGGGGGGTAGTGTTCATATTTTTTTTGACGACATGATTGCATAAACTGACTTTACTGGAATATTTTTATCAGTATGTTTTTATATACACTGTATGGAACACACTGGGCTTTTTAGCTCATTCTGTAGTTTTTACCATTTTTCAGATAACAGCAGACCATAAGCTAGCAGATTTGGCATCAGGAGAAATCAACTACTTTATTTTGTACGAACATATATTTCTATATGTTTTTCGGTTATGTTTGGTGACATGTATTTTATTATCGTTTTGGACATATCTGTATTATTAATATTATATTTAACGTCCTATAAGTGAAAAAAAAAACCTCTGAATGGGATATGTGACCACTTAGGTTTGGGTCTAACTCACAGACCGGGTCTAGGGGGTTACAGATTGTACCAGACTATGATCCTTGCATGAAGGAATCTTCAACGGAAGACTTCTCGGTGACAAGTAGAGCTTTGATGATGCCATGGTCCAGGAAAAATCATCGAAATTCAGAACCAGCGTATAAAGAGAAAATAATTATCGGACAAAACTCACAGTTTGAGACACATCTAGCATCAAGTAAACAAGATATAACTTCCAATTAATTACCTGCACATCATCTAATAATCCATTCCCAGATTCGCCCCCAACCACTATCATCTTGTTCCCAACCACAGCAGCTGCATGCTACTCAAAGAAAAAAGTTTTCAACGTTTCCATCATTCGTAATGAAGCAATCAGAAAACCGAAAAGAAACAATGCATTACATTAAAGCGAGGCACAGGCTTTTCCCCGGCAACCGATAACACCATCCAGTTCTCAGAGTTCCCTGATGAATTGATCTCGGGGGCAGTCGAAGGAACTTGGGAATCAAATTCATCTGAATGACTACCGGCAGGCAAAGCAGACTCCACCTGAAACAAACTCGAAGGCTTCTACCATTTTTATCACACAATCCCACCTACAGAAAAACGAAAATCAAGTTAAAAAGAGAACTCACAATGGCATTGTTGTTTCCTTTGGGTGGTCTTATAGGGCTTCTAGTTCCATGTCCGTACTCCGAAAGTTGTACTTTCTTCACTCTACACAACAATGTACCAAAAAAGAGGGATTTGAGCATTTTTGTGATCCATTTCGCAATTTACACACCAAGTCCCTCAATTGCTTACAATGATTAGTTCGCTTTTTCTTCATTGACATACAAATTATAATCTTCAACATAGAACAAATATCCAAATGAAGAATTGAAACTACAAAGCAAAGAAAACGATACATACATACATACACACATACATATAAAGTCAAATAATGGAAGAGAAGAAACTGACCTGCCAAGCTTCATGCGTCTACGAGAAAAGCTAAACATTTTCATCTGACCAGACCTTTTGTATGTAGCAAAAGGAGATATCTTTCGATCAAAAACCAAAAACCCTAGAATTTCCGCAAAATTTGAAGCTACATTATCATCAAGAAAACAGTTTAAAACAACAAAAATAAGCCTAAAAGCCACACAAGACATTGATAAAATGATAAAACCTCAATCATTTATCAGAGTTTCCATTTTTTTCAAATAAGAACAACGTGATATCCACCATAACCATGGACTCAGAGCTTAACCTGACACTAAAGCTTTGACCTTTAACCTCAAACTTGAGATGGGAAAAAAAAGAAGAAAATACATTAATGGGGAAATAGTAAACAATGTTTGAAGGGTTCAATTATGGGACTGGGTTTTTGAGGAAATGAGTTGTACCTTCTGCAAATAGTGATGACAGGGAGAGAGAAAGAGAAGCAGCTGAAAAACAAAGAGAATCATTAATACTGTGATTAACAAAATGATTTTGTTATAAACAAGAATCATTAATGTTGGTTTTTTTATTATTAAACATACTATGAATATGAGTAAATTTTTTATGTAATTATTGATCGAAGTCCATATATTTAGTAGCTTTAAATGGAATTGAAAAAAGGGTTGTGAAAATTTATAAAGTAAATAACAAGTAGCTGGCAACTCAACCCGAATCCGTCGGGTTCCGACCCGACTCGATCGGGTCGGATTTTTTTTAAAAAAATTCGGGTTCGGGTCGAGTCGGGTTTTTTTTAAATGTACTGTTCGGGTTGGGTCGGGTCAGGTTTATGGTGAAAAAATCCGACCCGACCCGACCCGAAAAATATATATAATTTTATCCTATATATTTAGGGATAATTACAATAATGTCCCTTCATATATAATTTTTTTCAATTAAGTCACTGTTTTCATTGAATAAAATTTTTTTTATTATTATTTCGGGTCGGATCGGGTCGGGTGAAACCTTAATTTCGTCGGGTCGGGTCGGGTCACGGGTGAAAAACCATTTCTTCTCGGGTCGGGTCGGGTGGCCCAAAAACCCGACCCGACCCGACCCATTGCCATCCCTACAAGTAGCAGACTTGATAGAGTGACCGCAGAAGAGGGAGAACTCTCATGGAAAAACGACCCCTCCATCGCCATTTGTTTCTTTCTTTGGATATGGCTAACAATTTTAGGGTAAATTGCACTGGAGGTCATTTTTAATTACGGATAATAATAGGTCACTTTTTCTACAAATTAAAAACAAGTCAATTAAAGTATTCTTATAATAAGATAATTTTATCCTTAAAATTTAAGCAAACGTCTATTTTGATATGATGTAATTATAATTATAATTTTAAAACTTTATATATTATATTACTTTTATTTTAATTTAATCTTTTGTATTTGAAAATTTCATCAATTCAATTTTTTTATACCGTCAAACTAAGTGAATCTGACATATTAAAGTGGTAGTTTGATAATTGAATTCTACCATAAACTGACATCAAATTACAATTAATCGTTATTATACCAAAAAAACAATATGATACTTATGAGAATAACAAATAATTTAAGAAAAAAAAACAAAAAACTAAAATGATTTTTTTTAAATAACTAATTAAAAATTATTAAATTATTTTATATTAGAACTACATATGAATACTGTTTTAGCTATGTATTTATGTATTTATTTATACATGCATTGCATTTTATCTAAATTTTTAATTTTCTGACTGCCGGAGGTCTTCCACGGAAGCTACTCTCAACCTGGCGTTGGGGTAGCCTACTACCCTACCTCCCCTTACCCCATACATATGGGAATTGGGTTTTGTTGTTGTTGTTGTTATATTAGAACTACATTTTATAAATTTTAAAAATTAAAGTGTTATTATACGAGAATATATCATTATTTTATCTAATATCATGATAAATTTGTGACAATATTTCAGTAACTTTTAGGAAGAAAAAAAGTATATTTACTATGGAGTTTATGATTAAATGAATTTGAGTGTAATTTATCTTATAATTTTAATGGTATCGACTACTAGTGTTATTTATGTAGTTTTGCTGATAATATTATAAATGTAGAGATCAAATAATGTCAAACTAAAGTGAAGAGGTTAACCTCAAAAGTTAAAATAATGGAGGGACTAAAAAGAAATTAGATTATTTTTATGTGTCTCTTTTTTGAAATAGTTGAGGTAGGCAGTGGTATCCATTACAAGGACTGCCTTGTCTCGGAACTTGCGGCTATCTGCTGCTCCCTGTCACGGTGGATCTAAATCTCTTCATCACACGTGTCACCTTTTCATTCAACCCCACACCTATTCTGTTTTTTCTATGGGTTTTGGACCCATTTGCAAAAGAAAAGTTAAACCCAAATTCATTTTTAAACTCGTGCTAAACCCTTATTTAGTAGGTTTACACGTCTAAGAGGTGTTATGTTTTATATTTTAGTTTGATTTCTAACATTTTTTCCATTCCAATTTAATGTTTAATGTTTCATTTCGTAACTCATTTTAGATTAGATAGTGATGGGTCGTTATTTTGGCCTTTAAATACCACCTGACATAGGTATAATATTAAAAAATAAGTTTTCTAATTAAAATAATAATTAATTAATTAATTAAAATTGAAAAATTGAAAAAGATAAAAACAAATTACCTTTAACCCTAACTCTACGGGTACGTTTAATTCACAGAATGTTATATTACCAGTGGGAATAAAAGATTACCAGGGAATATGATTACTGGGAATGTTACATTACTGTGTTTGGTTGGTTTGACAGGAATGTAAGATTACAGTGTTTGGTTGGAGGAATAAAAGATTATTGAAATGTATATTTTACCAAATTGTCCTTGTTCTATATTTGTTTTTTTAACAAGTGAAATTCTAAATATTTAAATAAAAATTATTTATATAAAAATTCTATTTGTTGATAATATATTACTTGAGTATTTAAATATATCATGTATTATTTTAATTTTAATTAATATTAAATTTTACATAATTTATGTAAAAATATATTAAAATTTTACATCAACATTTAACTAAATGTTTATATTGTGGAAATTCTTCATAGATATTCATAATAATAAAAATATGTAAATTATTTTTGTTATCTAAGATATAATATTTATTATATCTTCTATATACAATAATTTATTTATTTATCTTTTATATTTATACTTAATTCTGCATACTTTATCATTATTATTTATCTCATTAATTTATATTACAAAAACATAATTCAAATAAGTAAGAAAATATAACACTAAAAATCATATTGTCTATAATTTTATATTTCACCGTCATTCATCATTATCATATTCGAAAAGAAGATCCTAATGCCCCTAAACATCTTTCTACTGCTTTCTTTTTATTCATGTAAGGACCCTTCTGGTAGCCTTTTTTGGCTTAATTCTATGAGTTTAAGTTGGCAGACAACTCTCTATTACAGGGGGTACGCTCACCGACCCATTTCCATGTTCAACTTGGTCAGTCTATCATATTTGTCATTGAGCCACAACCAGCTCACTGGAACCATCCCGGACCAGATAGGGAATCTTAAGTCTCTCACTAGTCTTTCATTGAGTAGCAACAAGTTTATAGGTCACATTCCAGCATCTATTTCAAGATTACAGATTCATGTTTTTACAGCACTAACAACATTTTTTTACCTTTTTTCACTAGTAATTTCAAGCACAATTTTACTAATAACTATTACGGAAACAGACATTGTTTTAGTATGAAGTTTTAACTATATCTATGATAAATAAGTTATATTTTTATTACTTACCAGCTTTGCATAACCATTACATTGAGACAATTAATGCTATGAAAGAACACTTTTATCTTCAGAAAATATCGACACAAGAAAATTTGAGGAGCACCTCTAAAGATGAAATCTTGTCATCATCACTACTGCTAATTCATGAAACTTTACTTTAAAGCAGAAAACTCGCTTCAGCCTTCTCATGTCAAAGAAGACAATATAACATGATTGCCATTTTAACTAAATTGGTTTAAGTTAATTAAATTCTAGCTCCAATGAATATTAATTTTAAATAATGATTGAATATCAAGGACTTACTTCTTCCAACAGACCCATTTTAACAACATTCCTTTGCAACCTAAATTTCATAAATGAAATGCTTAATATCTAAAAATTAAAAATAAGAACCATCTGAATCACATCAATGAGAAATGTGTACCCCTGTAATAGAGAGTTGTCTGCCAACTTAAACTCATAGAATTAAGCCAAAAAAGGCTACCAGAAGGGTCCTTACATGAATAAAAAGAAAGCAGTAGAAAGATGTTTAGGGGCATTAGGATCTTCTTTTCGAATATGATAATGATGAATGACGGTGAAATATAAAATTATAGACAATATGATTTTTAGTGTTATATTTTCTTACTTATTTGAATTATGTTTTTGTAATATAAATTAATGAGATAAATAATAATGATAAAGTATGCAGAATTAAGTATAAATATAAAAGATAAATAAATAAATTATTGTATATAGAAGATATAATAAATATTATATCTTAGATAACAAAAATAATTTACATATTTTTATTATTATGAATATCTATGAAGAATTTCCACAATATAAACATTTAGTTAAATGTTGATGTAAAATTTTAATATATTTTTACATAAATTATGTAAAATTTAATATTAATTAAAATTAAAATAATACATGATATATTTAAATACTCAAGTAATATATTATCAACAAATAGAATTTTTATATAAATAATTTTTATTTAAATATTTAGAATTTCACTTGTTAAAAAAACAAATATAGAACAAGGACAATTTGGTAAAATATACATTTCAATAATCTTTTATTCCTCCAACCAAACACTGTAATCTTACATTCCTGTCAAACCAACCAAACACAGTAATGTAACATTCCCAGTAATCATATTCCCTGGTAATCTTTTTATTCCCACTGGTAATATAACATTCTGTGAATTAAACGTACCCGTAGAGTTAGGGTTAAAGGTAATTTGTTTTTATCTTTTTCAATTTTTCAATTTTAATTAATTAATTAATTATTATTTTAATTAGAAAACTTATTTTTTAATATTATACCTATGTCAGGTGGTATTTAAAGGCCAAAATAACGACCCATCACTATCTAATCTAAAATGAGTTACGAAATGAAACATTAAACATTAAATTGGAATGGAAAAAATGTTAGAAATCAAACTAAAATATAAAACATAACACCTCTTAGACGTGTAAACCTACTAAATAAGGGTTTAGCACGAGTTTAAAAATGAATTTGGGTTTAACTTTTCTTTTGCAAATGGGTCCAAAACCCATAGAAAAAACAGAATAGGTGTGGGGTTGAATGAAAAGGTGACACGTGTGATGAAGAGATTTAGATCCACCGTGACAGGGAGCAGCAGATAGCCGCAAGTTCCGAGACAAGGCAGTCCTTGTAATGGATACCACTGCCTACCTCAACTATTTCAAAAAAAGAGACACATAAAAATAATCTAATTTCTTTTTAGTCCCTCCATTATTTTAACTTTTGAGGTTAACCTCTTCACTTTAGTTTGACATTATTTGATCTCTACATTTATAATATTATCAGCAAAACTACATAAATAACACTAGTAGTCGATACCATTAAAATTATAAGATAAATTACACTCAAATTCATTTAATCATAAACTCCATAGTAAATATACTTTTTTTCTTCCTAAAAGTTACTGAAATATTGTCACAAATTTATCATGATATTAGATAAAATAATGATATATATTCTCGTATAATAACACTTTAATTTTTAAAATTTATAAAATGTAGTTCTAATATAACAACAACAACAACAACAAAACCCAATTCCCATATGTATGGGGTAAGGGGGAGGTAGGGTAGTAGGCTACCCCAACGCCAGGTTGAGAGTAGCTTCCGTGGAAGACCTCCGGCAGTCAGAAAATTAAAAATTTAGATAAAATGCAATGCATGTATAAATAAATACATAAATACATAGCTAAAACAGTATTCATATGTAGTTCTAATATAAAATAATTTAATAATTTTTAATTAGTTATTTAAAAAAATCATTTTAGTTTTTTGTTTTTTTTTCTTAAATTATTTGTTATTCTCTCATAAGTATCATATTGTTTTTTTGGTATAATAACGATTAATTGTAATTTGATGTCAGTTTATGGTAGAATTCAATTATCAAACTACCACTTTAATATGTCAGATTCACTTAGTTTGACGGTATAAAAAAATTGAATTGATGAAATTTTCAAATACAAAAGATTAAATTAAAATAAAAGTAATATAATATATAAAGTTTTAAAATTATAATTATAATTACATCATATCAAAATAGACGTTTGCTTAAATTTTAAGGATAAAATTATCTTATTATAAGAATACTTTAATTGACTTGTTTTTAATTTGTAGAAAAAGTGACCTATTATTATTAATCCGTAATTAAAAATGACCTCCAGTGCAATTTACCCTAAAATTGTTAGCCATATCCAAAGAAAGAAACAAATGGCGATGGAGGGGTCGTTTTTCCATGAGAGTTCTCCCTCTTCTGCGGTCACTCTATCAAGTCTGCTACTTGTAGGGATGGCAATGGGTCGGGTCGGGTCGGGTTTTTGGGCCACCCGACCCGACCCGAGAAGAAATGGTTTTTCACCCGTGACCCGACCCGACCCGACGAAATTAAGGTTTCACCCGACCCGATCCGACCCGAAATAATAATAAAAAAAATTTATTCAATGAAAACAGTGACTTAATTGAAAAAAATTATATATGAAGGGACATTATTGTAATTATCCCTAAATATATAGGATAAAATTATATATATTTTTCGGGTCGGGTCGGGTCGGATTTTTTCACCATAAACCTGACCCGACCCAACCCGAACAGTACATTTAAAAAAAACCCGACTCGACCCGAACCCGAATTTTTTTAAAAAAAATCCGACCCGATCGAGTCGGGTCGGAACCCGACGGATTCGGGTTGAGTTGCCAGCTACTTGTTATTTACTTTATAAATTTTCACAACCCTTTTTCAATTCCATTTAAAGCTACTAAATATATGGACTTCGATCAATAATTACATAAAAATTTACTCATATTCATAGTATGTTTAATAATAAAAAAACCAACATTAATGATTCTTGTTTATAACAAAATCATTTTGTTAATCACAGTATTAATGATTCTCTTTGTTTTTCAGCTGCTTCTCTTTCTCTCTCCCTGTCATCACTATTTGCAGAAGGTACAACTCATTTCCTCAAAAACCCAGTCCCATAATTGAACCCTTCAAACATTGTTTACTATTTCCCCATTAATGTATTTTCTTCTTTTTTTTCCCATCTCAAGTTTGAGGTTAAAGGTCAAAGCTTTAGTGTCAGGTTAAGCTCTGAGTCCATGGTTATGGTGGATATCACGTTGTTCTTATTTGAAAAAAAATGGAAACTCTGATAAATGATTGAGGTTTTATCATTTTATCAATGTCTTGTGTGGCTTTTAGGCTTATTTTTGTTGTTTTAAACTGTTTTCTTGATGATAATGTAGCTTCAAATTTTGCGGAAATTCTAGGGTTTTTGGTTTTTGATCGAAAGATATCTCCTTTTGCTACATACAAAAGGTCTGGTCAGATGAAAATGTTTAGCTTTTCTCGTAGACGCATGAAGCTTGGCAGGTCAGTTTCTTCTCTTCCATTATTTGACTTTATATGTATGTGTGTATGTATGTATGTATCGTTTTCTTTGCTTTGTAGTTTCAATTCTTCATTTGGATATTTGTTCTATGTTGAAGATTATAATTTGTATGTCAATGAAGAAAAAGCGAACTAATCATTGTAAGCAATTGAGGGACTTGGTGTGTAAATTGCGAAATGGATCACAAAAATGCTCAAATCCCTCTTTTTTGGTACATTGTTGTGTAGAGTGAAGAAAGTACAACTTTCGGAGTACGGACATGGAACTAGAAGCCCTATAAGACCACCCAAAGGAAACAACAATGCCATTGTGAGTTCTCTTTTTAACTTGATTTTCGTTTTTCTGTAGGTGGGATTGTGTGATAAAAATGGTAGAAGCCTTCGAGTTTGTTTCAGGTGGAGTCTGCTTTGCCTGCCGGTAGTCATTCAGATGAATTTGATTCCCAAGTTCCTTCGACTGCCCCCGAGATCAATTCATCAGGGAACTCTGAGAACTGGATGGTGTTATCGGTTGCCGGGGAAAAGCCTGTGCCTCGCTTTAATGTAATGCATTGTTTCTTTTCGGTTTTCTGATTGCTTCATTACGAATGATGGAAACGTTGAAAACTTTTTCTTTGAGTAGCATGCAGCTGCTGTGGTTGGGAACAAGATGATAGTGGTTGGGGGCGAATCTGGGAATGGATTATTAGATGATGTGCAGGTAATTAATTGGAAGTTATATCTTGTTTACTTGATGCTAGATGTGTCTCAAACTGTGAGTTTTGTCCGATAATTATTTTCTCTTTATACGCTGGTTCTGAATTTCGATGATTTTTCCTGGACCATGGCATCATCAAAGCTCTACTTGTCACCGAGAAGTCTTCCGTTGAAGATTCCTTCATGCAAGGATCATAGTCTGGTACAATCTGTAACCCCCTAGACCCGGTCTGTGAGTTAGACCCAAACCTAAGTGGTCACATATCCCATTCAGAGGTTTTTTTTTTCACTTATAGGACGTTAAATATAATATTAATAATACAGATATGTCCAAAACGATAATAAAATACATGTCACCAAACATAACCGAAAAACATATAGAAATATATGTTCGTACAAAATAAAGTAGTTGATTTCTCCTGATGCCAAATCTGCTAGCTTATGGTCTGCTGTTATCTGAAAAATGGTAAAAACTACAGAATGAGCTAAAAAGCCCAGTGTGTTCCATACAGTGTATATAAAAACATACTGATAAAAATATTCCAGTAAAGTCAGTTTATGCAATCATGTCGTCAAAAAAAATATGAACACTACCCCCAGCCCATCACAACAGAATGTGTAGGTTCCCCAGAACCATACACCCAGCCCACACAACAAATAAGGCCCTGAGCACAAAGCCGAGGAACCTGCGGATATACTTCCTTCAACGATACCCCCCAATGATGGAGATGTTCATGAATGTTTTGAATGAAAACAATGATTAAATCTTTAAAACATAAAAGTGTTCATGCTTAACAATAATATACAGAAATACGGAAATCAGAAGACAAGTCAGTAGTATACAGAATTTCAGATATCGAATATTCAATATTCAAAAAAAAAATGGTATAAAATACCGTAACCAAAAATCATATCAGAAATATGAGGCAAATCAGATGTCATATACATAATGTTCAGATGTATTTTTAAAACAGAAATAATTAACACTGTCGGGAAACACACCTGTAACAGTCTGAGAAATCAGATAGGGAAGCCTATTACTGGGTCTGTCGATCACGTTCTGCTGCAGCGCTAGATCCTACGAATTGGAAAAATCCATATTGGAATCCTAATATAAATAATCTAAATATTATTTAAATAATATACAGAAACCTACGGGTAATTCTCGTAGTACGCGGTTCAGGCTGATCTAACGAACGGATAATACCGGACCTAATTGATCCTTGCTCAGGTGAAACACGAGTACCTTCATAAAATATTTTATTGAATAAATCCTTGACCAAATCTCATTTAAATAATCAAAATATTAAAATATTAAGCCTTTTGGGTTTACAAGCTCGATTCGGGAATTTCGGGTCAGAATTTGGCAAAACGGACTTCGGAATCAAATTCAGGACGTCGAAAAATATAAGGTATGACCTTCCGAAATTTCGAATTCTTGGTCAAAATTAAAGTCAACGGGGTTGACTGACGATTTGGAGACTTTCGGGTTTGAATTTAGCAAAACGGACCCCAAAAACGGATTCGGAACGTCGAAAACTATCAGGATAGGTATTCTTGGTCGAAAACAAAGGTCGTCTAATAGCCGGTCAAAGCCGGTCAAAGTTCTGGTCAAAGGAGGTCAACAAACTGTCAAACATTTTACACAAATAGCACCCTTTTTGAATTAATTCCCAGAATAGCACCAAAACTGAATTAATTCCCAGAATAGCACCGGTCAACGGTCAACGGGTCGGGTCGGGTCAACGGGTCGGGTAAACGGGTAAACGGGTCGTGACCGGTCAAACCGGTCAAAACCGGTTCAAAACCCGGTTAAACCGGTCAAAACCGGTTTCCAGCGTTCACTCGCCTGCGGCGGCGCGTGTGGGCGCGTGCGACGTCCTCCGGGGCTCTAAAAATCACGGAAAAATATCTAAAAATTATTTTAAGCGATTTCGAGATACTTACAAAGATCGGTTCAAATTTTTGAACGGCGGAGAGCTCGATTTCGACTCGGCCGAATCTTTGACTGATCCACCTCCCTACGCGCCGCCGTCAACGGAGATCGAGGTTGACACCGACGGACTCGGAACGGCACAAGGAATACGATGGTGCGGGAGGTGTCGTAAAAGGAGCAACGATCGGCGATGAATTTAGGATTTTCTAGGCGATTGAGCTTAAAAAAACGTCGATGCTTTGACTTGAAATTCACGACGTTTGGCAGCGTTTCGCTTCAATTAAATTGAGGGGATTGTTCCTGATTCGATAACGAACACGATGGTACTTTCAAAACGACGATCGGAATTCGGACGGTGTCAGAATCGTCGTCGGAAGTTGAGGTGCGTGGGGTAAAAACTTAACAAATTGTTCTGTTATGAAACCAGAATCAATTTGCACGCATATAAGAAAAAAATCTGCCGACACTCCTTGGAAATATTCAGTGATTGGTCATTGAATTTCCTCCACTTTTTAAAATAGGCTACAAGTTTTAAAAGTTCCAATTAAATCCTCAAATTTCACCAATTAACTTAATTAAAACCTCAAATTACAATTATATATATTTTTTCCATTTTCCGGGTTGTTACAATTCTCCCCCTCTACAAGAAATTTCGTCCTCGAAATTTAACTTATGAAAATAGATGCGGAAATTGAAGCTCCATTGACTCCAACGTCTCCCAAGTAGCTTCTGAGGGTCTACGATTACTCCACTGCACTTTGACCATTGGAATACGCCTATTCCGAAGAACTCGCTCATCCCTCTCTAAAACCTGAACAGGCTCCTCCTCATATGACAAATCAGGTCTCAGCTCTACCTCATCAACCTGAATGATGTGATCTGGATCTGGACGGTATCGCCTCAACATAGAAACATGAAAAACATCATGAATACGACTGAGCTGGGAAGGCAACTCAAGCTGATAAGCAACAGGTCCAACTTTCTTCAGAATACGATACGGCCCAATAAATCGCGGACTCAGTTTACCTTTACGTCCAAATCTCAATACCTTCTTCCATGGAGATACCTTGAGAAAAACCTGATCTTCAACCTCAAACTCGATATCCTTACGTCGCTTATCTGCGTATGACTTCTGCCTATCAAATGCCTCTCTTAAACGATCACGGATCAGTCTGACAGTATCTTCAGTCTCTCGAACCAAATCTGGACCCAAAGTTTTTCTATCATGTAACTCTGTCCAACATATAGGAGTACGACATCTACGTCCATACAGAGCCTCGTACGGTGCCATGCGAATACTCGCCTGATAACCATTATTGTAAGCAAACTCAGCTAATGGCAAGAAATCTTCCCAACTACCACGGAAATCAATCACACAGCCCCGTAACATATCCTCCAACACCTTAATCACTCGCTCAGACTGTCCATCAGTTTGAGGATGAAAAGCTGTACTGAAATTCAAACGAGTACCCATAGCCTCATGCAAAGCTTTCCAGAACCTGGAAGTGAATCTCGGATCTCGATCAGATATGATAGACAGCGGAACACCATGAAGTCTAACGATCTCAGAAATGTACAATTTAGCCAGTTTATCCAGAGAATAATTAACTCGAATAGGGATAAAGTGCGCTGACTTGGTGAGTCGATCAACAATCACCCAGATAGAATCCTTTTTGGAAGGAGTTAGAGGAAGACCAGTAACGAAGTCCATCGTAATACGCTCCCATTTCCACTCAGGAATCTTAATTGACTGTAATAATCCAGATGGATGTTGGTGCTCTGCCTTAACCTGCTGACAAGTCAAACACCTCGCCACAAAATCTGAAATATTTTTCTTCATACCAGTCCAAAAGTAGCGCTCTTTGAGATTATTGTACATTTTGTCCCCACCAGGATGCATAGCATAAGGACTACTATGAGCCTCCTGAAGAATAACCCGTTTCAACTCATCTTCTTTAGGAACGCAGTAACGACCGTGAAAACACAAAATACCATCCTGATCCACAGTATACTCCGAACTCGATCCTTGCTTAACTTGTTCAATAATGGAAAGCAACGAGTTATCAAGGAGTTGTTTAGCCTTAATCTCCTCGGCCAAAGTAGGTTTAACTTGTAACTCTGCTAACAAACTATTATCATCAAATAAGCTCAAGTTGGCAAATAAGGCTCTGAGGTCTGATATCGCCTTACGGCTCAAGGCGTCTGCCACTACATTAGCCTTCCCTGGATGATATTCTATCTCAAAATCATAGTCCTTTAAAAGCTCCAACCAGCGACGCTGTCTCAAATTTAATTCTTTCTGAGTAAGCAGATACTTCAGACTCTTATGATCAGTATAGATATAACACTTTTCTCCGTAGAGGTAGTGTCTCCAGATCTTTAAAGCAAAAACCACAGCAGCTAATTCCAGATCGTGAGTAGGATAGTTACGCTCATGCGGCCTTAACTGACGTGACGCATAAGCGACAACTTTCCTATCTTGCATCAAAACACATCCTAATCCAGAATGAGAAGCATCACTGTAGACAGAAAAATCCTTCCCAGATTCAGGCTGAATCAACACTGGGGCTTGAGTTAGAACAGTCTTCAATTTCTCAAAACTAGCTTGTTGGTCCTCAGACCAGACAAATGGAACACCTTTCCTTAATAGTTTCGTCAGAGGAGCTGCAATAAGGGAGAACCCCTCAACGAAACGACGATAGTAACCAGTTAAGCCCAAGAAACTACGGATCTCAGAGACATTTCTGGGTTGCTTCCAGTTCAGAATAGCCTCCACTTTGCTTGGATCCACCTGAATGCCATCAGCGGAGACGATATGTCCAAGAAAAGTCACTTCGCTGAGCCAGAACTCACACTTGCTCAACTTAGCGTATAGCTTATTCTCCCTTAGAGTCTGAAGAACAATTCTTAAATGCTTCTCATGTTCTACTTCACTTCTAGAATACACCAGTATATCATCAATGAATACCACTACAAACTGGTCCAAATAAGGTCGAAACACTCTATGCATCAGATCCATAAAAGCAGCAGGGGCATTAGTTAACCCGAATGACATCACTAAAAACTCATAATGCCCATATCGAGTACGGAAAGCAGTCTTCGGAATATCCGAATCTTTCACTTTAAGTTGATAATAACCA